CTCCCTTCCGTGGTGTTTCAATTACGATTACATTTTACAAAAATTAGTAGCACCACCATGAAATTTGGTTCTACTCTCCTTTATTTGGGCCCTTCACTGGCATAATTCCATTGACTCCAACAGAGTAAGTCCTAGCAAGAGAAGAATCGGGGCCATGTCATAAAGGAGCTTGAAAGCAATCACTTAAAAAGTGTTCCGTTCCAGTGATGTGGCTTGTGGAAATCTGCAATAATCCTACTGGCTTTCCTGGGATTCTTTAGAGCAGCACAGACACTCTGCTTACAGTGGCACAACCCCAAAGTAAATCCCCCTTGTTTGCAAGCGCTCAGCATGCATTACAGCTGAAAGCACCATCCCGCCAATGCAGGGATGCTAGCTGGCTCTATGAACGTATGCTGCAGAGATTCTAGCATTCCTTGCTCCTGGAAATTTCTTTAATACAATGGCTTAGGCACGGACACGTACGCTGCAGGAGAAGGATGAAATGTTTGCTTTGCAGCATCCAGGTGTTACTAGCTATACACTCCTCTTACGGTAAAATAAAATAAAATTAAGCGTTGTTGTAAATGAAGTACCTGATCCTGCACTGGCTTTACAGCAGGAAGAACACCCATTAATGTCAAAGGGAGTTCCAAGTGTGGAGCACTTTCAAGGTTTTATAGGGACCTTTCTTCAAGGAGAACCTGAAAATTGTTTACTGTCATTAACCATCATCAGCCAAACACCTCGTTATTGTTAACCTGCACATACACGTTTTTAAATCAGAAGCAGTGTCGGACTGATCCTGTCCTTCTTACTCAGGCACAACCATCCTGAGAGCTTCAGTCTTTACTCCGGCAAAATGGGAGTTCTGACTGTGTGAGGACTGCAGCAGTTGGCCCTAGCTAAATAAAAATGATTGGAAGAGGGAATCAAGGAAGACAGCATACACACTTCCACTACTGATCACCAGTTCAAATCCAACCCATGTCAGTGGCTGCGGGAAATCACTACCATGTGATACCTGTTTGGTGATGTATGTGAACTGAAATGACATTCTTCGGGCTTCTTCCATAGCTCATTGATATCAATGGAGTCTTTTCAATGAGTTTTGGATCATGCCCTCAGCAGGCAGTTATGCACATCACATAAACCACAGTGACCACTGGTGGGAAGCCTGAATAGAGGCCAAAGATTAAATGGGGCTAGGGACAGAGCTACTATCTCATTTCTAGAAGGCAGAGGACCCCTCAAAAAGGACTGAAGCCCATTATCACGCTTGCTTTAGCACTGCTGAAGCAGTTCTTGTTCTCCAATTAGGGGATTTCAACCTTCAAGGCTGTCCACCCAACACCCTTCACAAGCACTAAATTCACTCAAAATAACAAATTGTATTAATTTAAAACTGGAAAGCAAAAACTCTGCAATAGCATCAACAACAAAAAACGTTACAAACATTAGATTTCGCATAGATGAAAATCATTACAATTCTCTAGAGACTTCCCCTCTCTGCAGTAACCCATGTCACTTCCTAGCTAGTAAAAAACGTGCCACAGGATATCAAAAGACTGTAACATTCTTCTAATTTTAATATTCCTCTAATCAAATAATGAGTTGTTTACTGCCTTCTAATTTAAAGGTAATTCATTAAATGTATCCTGTCACGTCTAATGGGTAGCCGAGGCATGAGAACAACACACACTCCTGGGGAACATCAGGGGCAGTGTGGGAATACTTCATGCGGTTCACTGAAATTTAATACTTCCTACATATACAAATTGCAGTGATAATATATATTATTTAATAATTGCAAAGAAACAATATAAATGAAACACTTCAGTGATTGAACTTGGTGCACAAAACATTTTTAAATAGGCTCAAAAGTGTGAATGCTAGGGAATGTGAAAAAATAGTAGAGGAATGTATACCAGTTACAAGCAGACCATATTTGGTATATCCACAAGTGGGTTTGATTCAACTTCCACTGAAGTCAATCAAAATCTTTTCATTGGATCAGGCCCAAAATGATCATGTAACAATAACGTTCAAGTGAGTGTCATGAAGTGGAGGAGAACAGACTGTACATAGATATTATGTACATTGCAAAAGTTGGGTCAGATTCAGTAATATTGGCCCAATACTTTTTAATTGGGCTGTAGCAAGGTAGTAAAAACATAGGGCCCAGATCTGCAACCCTTCCTGGCTACTCATATAAAGGTTGCAGTAGGATCACATCCAAAGCACTAATGGTATTTAGTGCCTGCAAATATATGATGTATAGAAACATGATTGTTCAGAAGACAATGCATGGTCTGGATTGAGAACTCATCAGGTTGTTGTTGTTTTTTAAAAATAATCAGGCAGTAGCCTACTGTACTAATGTCTGGTTTACTGAAAACTAAGGTATCAACAGTCAACCCATCTCTTAACCAGAAATCTTTGAAAAGGTATTTTTCAACTTCTTTTGGGGGCAGGAGAAAGGCAATCCAAACTTGTTAAGCATCAGTCCATTCTGTCAACACTTGCCCTATTCATCAGAAGCAATGTAGAATCACTAGATCAGTTTTAGAATACAGTTTTGGTCAATGTGTGTCCAAAGCAGTCACCTGATTGGCTGTTGGTGATGTCATACCCCAGTGACTGCAGTTTTAACATCATGCACATTATCCCAATCATCTACATGACAAGTATCATCAGTGTAAGTGCTACAGTAAATCACTGCAACAGAGAATAAAGCTACTTGTTGAAAGAGAGTGAAAGAGATCGGGTGCTTTAAAATGGTTCTCTTCAGTGTTTATTTTCGAAGTGGAATGGGGTCAGCAAAGAATGCCTGCTTCACTGAGAGGAATGGGGATTGCAATATCCCTAGCTAAAATAAAGTGTGTGTGTGTGTTCAAAAGGTCCCATTTGAAAATGTTAAGAGGTTGCCAGTGGTGAGACAACAATTGGTCCAGGAAATAAAAACTATTTCAGGAACCATAATGTTTGGCAAAATGAAGTCAAATCCATTTCTCAGGAACAAAAATGTAACCGTGACATCTGCAAAAATACGCTTCCCTGATTGCTCGTGACATTTTCACAGGTAGAACAGCCATGAAAGTACGTTATTTACATCAAATATTGATACTCTCTTAGTAATGTAAATTGACATGCTGGTACTTTCTTAGGGGGGTGGCAAGCCAAGTCAAATCTGAAGGCAGATGTACTTAAAAAAGCATTGTAAAATGCTAGGTCTACCTTGAAGTAATGGAGGTCCTGATTGGTGAATTGATGCATGTATGAAAGGCAGCTTGCCCATACCCAGCTGGTCACTTTGGGAACAGATCAGTCATTATTTATCCATAATGATTCTGATAACTGCATTCATGAATATAAGTCACTTCATGGATTAAACTGTATCATTACCTGTTTGAAGAATAAATGTTGCACTTCGCTAATCATTTAGTATAAAAGTGTTATTAACAAAGTGCAAATGCCTATTGCTCCCTTTAAATCTACATAGCAATATAATGACAGAACATGCAAATATGCACTAAGTGCATGCTATGAAACACTGTGCCAGAAAAGCATAGATGTCAAAGCAATTCCGAAACACATCTGTGCTCAGGTTGTAATGCGATGATTCAGCCTACACCTTGGAGGATTCTCCGCGGCATACGGGGAGTATGCGGTCAGGAGTTGTTTGTTTTGTACCGCTGAGTAATCAGTGGGAAAGAGTCAAAGTATCATTTAAATTGGCGATATAAAAACATCCTATGAACCTTCTTATTTTGAGTATTTTCAACATAGGGTTGCGGATGCACACACAGTGTTGGGCACGGCTGAGCAAAACGCAGCGCCGCGGACAGACGCGGACACGTTCAGGACAGGAGAGAGAACATTTCAGTCTGGCGCTCGGGGAGTCTCCCAGAATCAGAGCAATAACTCCGGCTAACCAAATCCAGCTGTGGTTAGAAGCGACGGAAGCTCATTTGGGGGAAGGCTCAAGCTCTGCAGCCCTTCAAACACAAGTGATCCAAAGTAAACCCAAAGCTACCGACACACACTAGCCCTATTCACCCGCGTAGCGGGAATGGGGGGGAAGAGGACTCCGGAGACGGGCAATAGCAGAGCCGCAAGAGGAACTGTAACCGCATTGAACTCGGTAGGCGGATGGGAGCGAAACTTTGTTTAGCCCCTTCCAGGGCTTCCCTGCCTGGCGTCTCGAGCGCTCGGAGGAAGAAAACAGGCGGAGCAGCCAAGCGAGGAGAGCCCGGCTAACCAGCGCTGCGCTCCGGGCCAAGAGGAGGGCGGATCGCGGCGGTCCCAGGACCCGGGGGCCGAAGCACTTATCTCCCGGATAACTGTCACGCTTTATGGATGAGCTCCCCGCCGTGATTAAAGCGGGACCTCAGGAGCGCTTCCTCGGCGGGCCCGGCTGCAGGGGGTCAATAGGCTGGAGGAGGAAGGAGGGGACCCTCCTCCTGTACCCCACAGACCAGGCACATCGCCGCCCTCCCCCAGCAACCCCGATCCGTTCGGCACCAGCTCCCCCCGGCCGCCGCTGCTGCCCCGCTAGCCGCATCAGCGGCCCGCCACAGGGGGGTCGTGGGGCAGAGCCCACCTCCCGCCGTGGGCAGCCTCTTCGCCAGACCGCGTCCGGGCACAGCACTAGCCATCGCCGCCCCCAGCTCGCCCGGCAGCCACTAGCCCGGGCTCCGGGCTCGAACTCACTCCAGCTCGCCCTCCATGGCAGCCGCTCGCAAGGGCTCGCCCCGGAGGGAGGGTGATGGGGCCGCTCACACCCCGGGGTCCCCCGAGAAGCGGGGAGCCGGCACCGAGCAGCCCAGTGCCCCCAGTCCCGCCGCCGCCACGGGACACCGGGGGACAAGTGCTCCCGGGTCCTTTCGGAACAAGCCCCCTCCCCGGATTTAGGGGTCCCCGGCCCCCCAAGGAACCAAAGGGGGGGACCCAGAGCTGGCGAGCCGCCCGCTCCCTCTTCCCCGAAAGTTGGGAGACCCAGCCCCGACCCCTGGTCTCACCTGGAGCCGCTCTGTCTGCTCCAGCGACGGACGGACCCGGTCCTCTCCCGACACGTCTTCAGCCGTGCGCCCGGGGCAGCCGGGCGCTCGCCATGTGGCCGAGAGGCCGAGCCCCGCGCCCGGCTCCGGAGCGCAGCTGCAGCCGGCGGGTCCCGGCGCCCCCTCGCTCACCCAGGCTCATCGCCCATGGCCCGGGCAGAGCGCGCCGGCCGGAGCCGGGGAGGGAGGGAGGAAGGAAGTTCCGAAGCAGCCGGGTCGCCCCCCCACCCCGGGACTCCCCCCGCGGGCAGCTGCGTCCGACTCCGGGGCGAGCCCCAGCGCGGCGAGGGGAGACTCAGCCGGGGAGGCTGCAGCTCCGGTTTGAAACTAGAGTGGCCCAGAAAGCCACCCCCCTGCCCATGGCAGCCGGCCCTGATTGGCCAGCCCCGCTCCCTCCCCTGCGCTGGGGGCGAGTCCCCGCCGCTGGCTGCGGGGGCGGGGGGGGGGACGGACAGCCAGCCGGCCGGCCCCCAGGTCTGCCCGCCCCTCCCCGTGCTTTCCGGGCGGCCCCGCCGGAGCCCCGCGATGGCCACATCAAACCCAGAAGGGGGAAGGTTTCCGAGCCTTCATAACGGGGCTGGGGGAGGGAGATTTCATAGGTGAGCTGAGTCCTGCGCCCGCTGTCCCCCATCCCGTGCAAATACTGGGCGGGCTTGGGGTAACCAACGCTGCGGATGCTGCCAGCCTCGGGCCAGGCCCGTCTGCGCGGAAAGCATAAGCCGCCGGAGCTGAGGAACTACCTGGGAGCGCTTGCAAACTCCTTGATCTCCTACGTGGACAGAGACCCAGGAACCCACATTCGCGGGGAGGAGACCTCAGAAATCATTTTCTCCCCCCTCCCGCCCCCTTGTTTATGTACAGAATTATCCGCCTTCCAGTTAATGTTCCTTACCCACTAAGTATCAGAGGGGTAGCCCTGTTAGTCTGTAGCCACAAACACGAGGAGGAGTCTGGTGGCACCTTAAAGACCACCAGGTTTATTTGGGCATAAGCTTTCGTGGGTAAAAAACCTACTTCTTCAGATGCCTGGAGTGAAAATTACAGATACAGGCATAAATAGATATTGGCACATGAAGAGAAGGGAGTTACCTTACAAGTGGAGAACCAATGTTGAAGGCCAATTTAGTCAGGGTGGATGTGGTCCACTCCAGCTAGTTACTGTATTTGTGTCCCTCACCCCACAGCAGGACCGTGTCCGCAGTCCCATTCTCCATTACGCGGCCCCTGCAACATAAAGAGGGATGCCCTAGTGCAAATGCCCCTCAGCACAGAAGTCTCCACTTTCAGTCTGGCAAACAGTTCCCGGGTCAGTCAGGGATGTGGGAACTCCGAAGACTCAGAGCTCAGATTATCATCCTGGAAGATGGCTGCTCAGCTGAGCCCACAAAGGCTCCAAGCAACCTTCCCAAATACACTAACCCCTCCTTTAAACAGAACTTGGGTCTCTCTCCCTGCTACCTCTTCAGAGGGAGGGAGGAAGCACAGTACTTGTTATTCTTTCTTTAGCATCTTCCTACTGCACCCCATTCTCTTTCTTTCCCCCTCTTTCCACTCCATAAGGTTCCCAGTTCCTCTTGCCACTGCCATCACATGACAGCGCACAGTAAAAGTGGAGACGCCTTTTGTTTCTGGGAAGTGCCCTGTTCTATGCGTGCTGCATCCCCAGAGCCCTGCAAGTGAGGAAACACAAGTTGCTTGCAGTGCAAGATCTTGATGTTTTTCCCAGGTTGCATGGCACACGCTGCTCTCCCACTCAGCCCAAGCTTTTAGCTGTCTAGCAAAGCCACTGCTAGGATCAGAGAGCTAGGCGTGCCCTAGCTGGGGGACGAGGACAAAGCCAATTCCCAAGCAAAAGGTTGGTCTGCAAATCCGGTCAGCATCTTCTTTTGAAAACACCGGCAACTTGGCAGGCATGATAGCATGCCAGAGGCTTGACCTGCCAACCTTCCTCTGGTCACAGGTCTGGTCAGTAATATACTGCATCCCTAAGAAAATGGACTGTCAAATTTAGGAATTAAAATTCAGTGACATTTAGTGAAAAATGATGTTTTACTGGCAGTTTTCTACTGGCTGGATGCAGGGGTCACTGACCTACTGGGTGACCTTGGGCAACTCCCTTTGATTGCGTTCTCTATTTAGACTCCAGATTCTTTAGGGAGGATTTGTCTCCTACTGTGTGAGTGTATTGTGCATAGTACAATGGCACCCTGATCTTGGCTGGGGCCTTTAAGTGCTATTGCAGTACCAACCATCATCAACATGTAATGCAAAGAGATAGTGGATAAACTGAATGGACCACCTCAGGTGTTCTGAGCAAAGCTGAAAAGGTTATTCGTATTGTGGATTTCAACCAGGTATGGTCCTTCAAATTGACCTTTGCCTAACTTTTCCAGCATTACTGTATGCAAGACCTTAAAAATCACTGTACCTTCTCTAGCGCAATCTGTTGTATTTTTAAATTTACAGTGGCAAATGCAACCCATTTAGATAATTTTGTTGAGAATGAGAGAGAGGGGCCCACAAAATCCAGTTCCACCAATAGATCCCATGCCTCTCCTCTCCCTTACGGCCCAATCCTACTCCTAGGAAGGAGAGGGAATCAATGGTAGTTTTAATGGTGACTTAAATTGGAGCAAGATAAAGCCCTTAGTGTCAGATTTCATTTCTTCCTCCATGCTTAGCTTAGTGCTCCCACTCCCTTTTTCTTTAAACCTGCCTCCAAATTTTGTGAAGCCTTCAGACAATAACATCAAGAAAAATGCCCTTATTCACCCATTATACATATTTTAAAAGATTTGAGATAGAGCCAGAGGAAGGTTCTATCTGTGTGGTTTGGGTTGTCCTCCTGCTTCAGTTGTCAGCTCTTCAGGGCTGGGACCACATCTTCTCCTCTGGCTCATACAGTGCCAACTGCACTGGCAGCATTTGACAAATAATCATTATTGTAATTGGGTTGCACATCAGTGCACAATTCCAAATATCCGGGCTGGGGAGTGGTAAGAGCATTTGTTGTGTTATGACTGTGTTCTAGGTGAACTATTTTATAGAGAAAGAATTTACATCTTCTGTTTAAACTTTTTTCCTGCTTTTCCAACAGAAAACATTGAAGTGCCATTTATGGTTTGGTCAGTGCAACCTCACTTTGCACCTAATTGCAAATTACTGTTTAAACACACACACACACACACACCGATCCAATACTCTTACACGGGTACAATGGTGATTGGTGCACTCGATATAAACTGACAAGCCTAAATTTTCAAATGCGGCTAATGTTTTTGGTTGTAACAATTTTTGGGTGCCAACCTGGAGGTAGCTTAAAGGGGTCTGCTTTTTAGAAGTGCTGACCACTCACCTTCTGAAAATCAGGCCTTTTTGAAAGGTATTTTACATTGGTGACTCAAAAATGGTGGCACTCAAAATCACTAATCATTTTTTAAAATTTAGGCTCAGTCAGTCTGTTTTTCTTTTCCTCTCTTGGCTGCAGAGGTGCTATTGTGGTGTCCCTACTATCCTCTTAAGGTGAAATTCACCCCTACGCAGAGGAACAGCACACACCCATGCACTGCTTACAGCCCATGTAGGCCTTGTGCTGAATTTCACTCTGAGTGTGAAGCAGCCATATGGACAATTGATGACTGCTCAGAGCTACAATTTCATTTCTTTACAGCTAGACTGTGTGCGATTTACTACTTAGTCTTCATCTGATTGCTACTTCACCCTGCATAAGTCTGCACTGCTTCAGACCTATCTACCCTATGCAAAGTACTAGAGTACTAGGTTATACATGGCATTTGTGTGGGAGGCGCTTTGAGCATGAGACAGGCCTGAGAACTCACCCCAGCTCTGACGAAGTCTCTGTCTTTGAACAAATCTCTCACCTCCACTCAGTTTCCCCATCTATACAATGGGAATATTAATACCTATCTCATAGGGGTGCTGTTCAGACAAATTAGGTAATGGCTGTAAAGCATTTTCAACGTACAAATGCTGAACAGATGCTCCCTATTCTTAGTGAATTGAGAGCACTTTTCAAATACCATCTAACTGAATCTTCAAAACATCCCTGCGAGGGGAATTATAATTCCCATTTTACAGATGAAAAACCCAGCAAAGGGATTAAGGTCTTAATCCTGCACCATTTAAATCATGCACTCTCCCCCTGCTGGCTCTAGCCCTACATGATTTGCCCAATGTGAACAAGATAGTAAACCTATAGGAAAGGATTAGAACTCAGTAGTCCCTGGTCCCCAGTCCTGTGATCAAACAGCCTCTTCCTTTCACAAACCCCAATCCTCACAGCTGGAGGCCATGCCAACAATATTCATGCAGCCGATCATCTTTTAGCTTTGCAGTTACCAGGGTCCACTGCTTCCCTCCAACAGAAGAAGGCTTGTACCTTTTGACACCTCACCGGACTCTGTGACTGTCTCGCCAAGATGAGCCAGAGTAAATCCTGGATACGTTTTAAGTCTTTTGATGATTTGAATAGTTAAAAGGCTCATTATTTCTAAACATGTTTAACCATTTTTTTCTATTTCTGCTTGCAAAATTAGCTGATGCCCATTTTAAATAAACAGCTATTGTGCAGTTAAACAATGATTAAAGAAGAGTTCCATTTAAATTATTAAGTGGTTAGATAAAAAGCCTCCCTTCTCTTTTGTACACTACTTTATTCAGAAGTCAAACTTCTGTAGTCTCAGGGAATGCTAATGAACAGCATAATAATGCACAAGGGCAAGAGCAGGCTGATTAATTAAAAACAGAAGCCAGAAATCAAAGGTCTTAAAATAGGCTTACAAACATAATTCAATTATATTTTATGAACCTAGGATAACCAAGACACGTCCCACACTTTCATTCATCATTATACCCCATTTTAATATCTAAACTGGCTTGCTTGTACATGGGAAGTGGTGCTAATTGGGTCTTTCAGGTGTGACGCTTACATAACGAGACAAAAGCAACCTGACGCTCACGTCCAATTTTCATCATTCTGTAACTTGAAAATGGCTACATTTGACTGAGTGTATTC